TTTTCACGACCTGAAGATTGCTGTCTTCTAGGTTGTTGTGCCATGTAGACGTTTCAGAGGACCTTTCTGCCTCCATCATCAGGGCCCAGAAGACAGCAATCTATCAACAAGACGTCATAGGTGTGGTGATGAGGACAGTGACGGTCCTTGGAACGTGGATCACTTAAGCAACTGACACGGCTGATAGCTTGTGATTATTATTATTATTTATTTATTTATTTATTTACTGCAATTGGGTTTGCACCCGATGGCAGTGGTCCGTACACTACACAATTACAACATCTGCTATAAAGCTGTTTTGTAATTTCTTCTTATAAGTAGAAACTAAAACAACTCTTTTGTCTCTTTGTATTGATGTTACTAAAGCCTGCAAATGGTGTTACAGTTAGTGTTGAGTTTTGGATACTACATCCTGTATGTTCTTAAATCACTTTCATTGCCAGTTAAAAGAACATAGAAACGCATGCTATCATATTAAATAAAAAATTAAATCCGTGGCGTAACAGCTCCAGAAAGCCATAGCCGACTAGCTGGCTGCTGGCCACACGTTCACATGCTTAAGCAGAGGTGAACGATCATCCAACCAGATACAGGGTGACGTGTGGTCAGCACGACGTACCCCCAGCCATATGCTATCATATTATTTTAGAATATTTATTCTTATTCTGTATCTTGAATGCGATTAAATGTGTAGGCATTTGCCTGTTCTGTGTCGTAATTAACTTCTTTGTTATTCTTAAGCTCAAGGAGAAAAACAAAGATTTAACGTGTTTATAAACAATGAACTGAGATAATATTGGCATGATGATGTTGAAATAACCGTGGGGTGGGTTTCAGAGTACTACCAAATTAGGATGGATAGTGTTATCGTGGTGGCTTATTCGTTTTATTACTTATAATTTGTCCTCTTTAGACAGCCTTGTTGTTTTATATAATGCTTTAATTAGGTCAAAGCTTGAGTATGCCTCGGTCGTTTGGAATAATCTTACACAGACAGATTCTAATAAATTAGAAAATATTCAAAGAAAATTTGCCAGTTTATGCAATTACCGATTTTTCCAGTTTAATATCCCCCGAAAATATGAACTGATCCTATCTACTTTAAATTTTAGAACACTTTATTCCAGACGACGACATCTCGATGCGTTATTTCTTATTAATGTATTTAAGGGCAAAATAAATTGCCATTCCGTTATGGACACTGTTGGTTTACGTGTGCCGGCGAGGCAAATAAGAGAATTTTCTACTTTTAGTGTGAGCAATGCGCTAAGACATAGTCCTTCAGCCAGGTGCGTCATCGCTGCAAATGACGTATGTAAATTTTTGGACGTATTTAGCATAAACATTGTCTCCCTTGAGCGAACGTTCTCAACAAGGGAAATGATCTAGATAGATTGTCTTGTAGATGATCTAGCTTCGTTATCTGTTTTTTTATATTCTTTGAAGTTTTACAATTATATTAGTGTTCCCTAGGTGGATTATTTGTTTTTATTTATACTTCTTCAATTTTGCTCTGTGTTAATATTGTTTCTATTTTGAGTTTGTCTGCACTTGGCAGTTACATTTAATACTGTACATGTATAAGTTTAGTTAATCCGTTTGTTTACTATTATCCATTATTATTTCACTATTATTGTATGTATTATCAGTGTTTGCTTGTTATTGGCTTCTTGCTGTTGGCAAACACTCAAATAAATTAATTGAATTGAATTGAATTTGTTATGATTTATTTATAAGCTTCTCATCATAGTGACCCGCGACGACATTCGCTCCAAATGCTATGGTTCAGTCAGCTGCTTTAGTGAAGTACCATGTAGGCCTTCATTAGTAGCTTCGCATTTAAATAAAAAATAATTAATCCGAAGAAATTTTAATACCGAGTATAGAACAGATTACTTCAGTTCCCACTGTTTTTGGAGTAACTTAAACTTCATATTAAATTTACTTGCCAAATTTTTATAGCTCTGTATAATCGGTCGATATGATCAAGTTGCATGTAAAATTAATAGCAGGAAATTTCCACAACGTGTGGAAACCTTGTCCACTGTCAGTCATACGACCCTTACAGGGTTGTAGATAAGGGTCATGCGAGGTCATGTACGTACAGATTATTAAATTACACATTCATCAGAACGCTTTGTGACAGCGTAAAAATGTTATGCCAGATAACCAGTCAACTTGAAAATAGTAACGTGTGGGCCGCCATTGAGATACAGTTTTAAAGTAAAGTGTTTCATTGTCTGGACGCAGTGGCTAGAAGAAAATCCTCTACCTTTGACGGAGGTCTGACCCCGATCACCCAGTCACTACACTGATTGAGCTACCCGGCTCAGGACAGTAAAAAAGTAAAGTTTGTCCCACTATACGCCATGTAGGCGTTTGGGGGGAGTGGAGGTATAGCTCCTCTCTTCCTTGACCTCGGCACTAGATGGGGGTGAGTGGTCAGCATCACGCCCCGGCCGGCTTTAGCGGGCATAGGTTCTTGCCAGAATCTGATGGTTAACTAGCCAGCTAGGTAGATAATTACTCTATCCTGTTAGTCAGCAAAATAACTGTATAAACTGTATAAAACTGCAGGACTGCTATTCCTCTGACGGCATCTGAATTTCAGACATCTCAAAGAACAGAAGCGGAAGTCAACTGCTTCTATCGTTTCGGTTTTATTGTTCATTCTAATCGCCACACGGCTGACGTACAGTTCTGAATGTTTTTGGTGTCATGTCATGTTGATTAAACAAAACGACCTTTTTTCTTTCAAGCTGCGGATGGTTGATGGCATTCAGCGTCCTCTTACCGGACACTAATATTTTAATAGGATTTTTGTCCATAAAATACAGCCGTCTCCACCTTTCCCCTGGCAATCTATCAGACAGTAGCTAGCAGAGCAGCAAGCACCAGGGAGGTATGTACCCGGGCCAACAGAGAATCCCTACTGAGCGAGCATACGGTTCGTCATATGATAGCTTTGCGTGTAGATCAACGCCTTGTCAACTGTTTGTTAATTGATGGAGATACGGTACCAGACAGCGATATAATAGTATTAATTCACTTACGTTCTTTGTTTAATTGGCTGCATCAACAGCCAAATGGTCATGTACAGAAAACAGCAAAAAATTATCGACTTACAAAGGTCCAGACAAGGCATACTAATGGACAGAGGTTGCTAACCCCAAAAATACTCTAAATGCGTGTAAGCATGTCAAAAGTTTGTCAAGTATGGTTCAGTTCTGCGACTCTTTATCTGTGTGCTGATGTAGCAGCAGCCCGAATGTCGAGAAAGCAGGAGTTGAACAAGAGAAAAAATAGAAGACGCTGTCAAACGGAATAAATATTAAAAACAAGATGCCAAATTAGGAAATCTACTACATGTTGTTGATAATAATTCCAGCGACACAGGACAATGTCCTGAGCAGAAGGAGAGAAAGAGAAAATAATGTAAGATTTGAGGTTTTCACAGCGGCGAGTATGAAGATTTCTGTCTTCTGGGTTGTTGCGCTGTGTAGTCTGGTCGATGTTAACCAACGTTTCAGAGGTCATACTGCCTCCGTCATCAGGGCGGTGAAGATTTATGTCTTCTGGGTTGTTGCGCTGTGTAGTCTGGTCGAAGTTTACCAACGTTTCAGAGGTCATACTGCCTCCGTCATCAGGGCGGTGAAGATTTATGTCTTCTGGGTTGTTGCGCTGTGTAGTCTGGTCGAAGTTTACCAACGTTTCAGAGGTCATACTGCCTCCGTCATCAGGGCGGTGAAGATTTATGTCTTCTGGGTTGTTGCGCTGTGTAGTCTGGTCGAAGTTTACCAACGTTTCAGAGGTCATACTGCCTCCATCATCAGGGCGGTGAAGATTTATGTCTTCTGGGTTAATGTGCTGTGTAGTCTGCTAGAGGTTTACCAACGTTTCAGGGGTCACTGCCTCCGTCATCAGGGCGATGAATCGCCCTGATGACGGAGGCAGATAGCCAACTGACGTCTTGCGTCGTTTGAAATTCGGAAGCGACAAGGGTTAGCATACTCGATGCTGAAGATTGATGTCTTCTAGGTTGTTACACCATACAGTCTGGTAGAAATTTACCGACATTTCAGAGATGCTTACTGTTTCCATAGTCAGAACTATGAGTCATCTTCACGCACGCCGTCGTTAAAAACGTGAAGTCTCACAGTACTGACATAATTCTGACATCTACGCTCAAGTCTCCGAAATGTTCTATTTCTTTCAAGTTGTGCGTCTACAGTTCTGTGTGAGCTTATGATCTTTCGCATTCGTGCTACATGCTTCCAGTCCGTAAATCATATTTAGCTACTTCTTATAATGCGCTTGGTATTTAGCTCAAATATCGAGTCTGTATCACAGTGTATGTATGCCACAAGTATGCAAGCATAATATTTCGCGTCGCTTGTGACACATACTGAAAACAAGAACGAGATTCACGCGGTTTTCGCTTCTCTTTTGGAATTCAATCGACTAAATACCGCAATATAATGGACTTTATAGTACTTTACTAAGCTAATTTTATACACATTCTTGGATTCTCAAATACAGTATAAATTCTAATGCTCCGTTTGTTTTCTTTTGTGTCTGAGCATTGTGAATTGTACACAATATGTGGGTTGATATTAAAGTTAGATTGTCATTTCTTTTTACGAAAGCTTTGATAAGGCAAAAGCAACGTTCTTTAAATTACTGGAGCTCTACCCAGAGGCTATACTTTGGAGAGGACTAATGTTTATCATTCATTTATTTACCAACGTTGTATGGTCTGGTGCATGTAAAGGGCATTTGTTCATCCATGTACAATATGATTTATAACCCATGTTTAAGCCTGCCATATTTTCCATTCTCGTGTTCACTTCCACGCGCTTTTATGAAGCGTTTATTCACTAAATTCTCAAGAACAAAAAAATACGTAGGCCTATTCTACTATTCAGTTTTCCGTGATACGCTTAATAAAACTATAATTTTTCACTACTT